TTATTCTATATGCAATTGTGTAGTTCCTCCTGAGTGTCAGTGGCCCTGGGCCCACATTTGTTATTCTGAAGCAAAAAGAGATGGGCAGTGAGATCCAGAGCTGGACCCCCACTTCTGTTGAAGCAGACAGAGGTGCTACAATCACCTCACCTTACTGTAGCTTGTTCCTGTAGTTATAATGCTACAAAGAACTAGGACAGTCAGGGGAAGATTAGACCAGCACTGTGTGTGGTATATAACTGCAGTTGGTATAATACCTTCTCAGGGAAAAGTGATCCAGAAAAGAGGAACTTTTCTTAGAGCTAATCAATAGCCTACTAGTCTACAGAGTCCATGTGATTCCATAATACTGATTCTCCCTCTAAGTTAATGACTCTGCCAATAATTCCCTTTATACCTGTTAGGTAGTAACCACTACACAATGTCCAGAATTCTTCCCTCACTTTTCACAACTATGCTATTTGTTGGATTAGCTACCTTCTCAAAACCTTGGGTATTGATTTTCTAAATCTAATTTTATCCCTGGAGCTCACATTCTCATTTTTATGGTTCCAGTCTAGTCTTCCTTGGCCTTATTGTTACCAGTAAATATAAATATGTTTACATAAATACAATATCCTATTGGATGCAAAGGAGCTCTGGTGGCAGAGTGCCTAAGGCATTTGACTGCTAACCAGAAGACTGGCAGTTCAAACCCACCAGCCACTCCTCAGAAGGAATATTGGGCAATCTACTTCTGTGGTGCTACTGCCTCAGAAACCCAAGGAAGGGTTGCTATGAGTCAGATCTGACTTCACCTCTTAAGTGAAAGCTGGATAGTGGAAAAAGGAAAACAGAAGAATTGATGCATTCCAATTGTGATGTTGGCAAAGAATATTGAGTATGCTGTGGACTGCTAAAAGAACAAACAAATCAACCTCAGAAGAAATACAACTAGAATGTGCCTTAGGTGTGAGGATGGTGAGACTTTGACTGCTTAGTTTGGACCTATCACCAGCAAAGACAAATCACAAGAAATGGACATCATGTTTGGCAATGTAGAGGACCAAAGAAAACCTCACTGAAGTAGACTGACGAAATAGCCACAGGCAGAGACTCAGACTTACCAACGATCATGAAGAGGGCACAGGACCAGGCAATGTTTTGTTCTGTTATGTCTGGGGTTGCCGTGAGTTGGAGCCAACTCAATGGCAACTACACCACCACCTGCTGTTATTTCCCATCCGATATGCATTGGACCGTTACCGTTTATGGAGCAGCTACTTCATTCTTGGCTGTGTTTTAGAGGTGCCTTGTATGTTCTCTTCCTTATTCTACTCTGAAAAATAACTTTCATTATGCCAGTTTCAAAGGGGGAAAACTTTTCAATAGCTCATTCAGTGTCATGAAACTAACAAGTGGTGGAGGTTTGAATGCAGAGCTGTCTGGTTCTAAAGCCATGTTCCCCATCACACACAACAGACCACCCAAAGAGAGCTGAGGCTCAGGGTGAGTGGGAGCACTAGCTGTGTAGTTAGTTTTCTTCTTCCTCCAGCTGAATCAGAAGCAAAGCAAGCACTGTGCTTGGTGTGGTGGGCACTGAAAGATGTACAATGCAGGCACTCACCTGCTGAAGCCCAGAATAAAGCTGGGGGCAATGGCCATGCACGTAAAAGCAAGGCAGGGAAGAGGCTGGCAGTAGTACTGGCTGCTTGTTCTAGAAGAGACATCAGTCTGGACCTGACATTGTTCACCTGTAGCTAAAAACTTGGCCTTACTATTTTCAGAATTCACTTCCCCTAAGTGTGGTTATCTTTACATACCTCAACACTCTACTTACGAACATTTTTAGGTTGGAGATACTATCAAATATACCTGTAATAAGACACACTCAAGGGTACTAGAGGGAGATGACTGTTGGGGAAGAAATCCAGAGGCTGAAGGACAGGAGGTGAGCTCAAGCCTGCTAGACAGAGGAGCAGCCTGGTGAGGAAACTCCCTGGTGATATGGCCAGCTCTGTGGGTCCCTAAATGTCGTAGTGTGGCAGGCTAAAACATGCCCCTTCCAATAGATGTCCATGTCTTAATCCCTGGAATCTGTGATTTTACCTTATACAGCAAAAAAGAGTCTTTGCAGATGTGATTAAGTTAAGGATTTTGAGAGGGGGAGATTAGACTGGACTATCCAAAACCCAAACCAAACTCAGTGCCGTCGAGTTGGATCCGACTCATAGTGATCCCTCTTTGGGTTTCCAGGGCAATATCACTATGGAAGTAGATTGCCCAACCTTCCTTCCAAGGAGTGGCTGGTGGATTGAACTCCCAGTGTTCTGGTTAGCATCCAAGTGGGTCCTAAATGCCATCACAACTAGAGTCTGAGGAAGATTTCACACGTGCACAGATGAGGTGATGCAAAGACCGAGCATGCAGAGATTTAAAGGTGCTGGCCTTGACAACTGGAGTGGTACAGCCATGAACTAAGGGATGCTGGTAGCTACTAGAAGCTGGGAGAGGCAAGGAATGGCTTCTCCCTTAGAGTCTCCAGAGAGAACCAAACCCCAAGCCCCGCCAAGACCTTGATTTCGGCCCAGTGATGATTTAGGACTTCTGGTCTCCTGAACTATAAGAAAACAAACTTCCATTGTTGTAAGCCACCAAATTTGTGGCAATTTGTTACAGTTGCCATAGACAAAATGAATACAGACAGCTTAGTCCAGGCTTAATGAAAACATCAGGGAAAGGGCAGCGGAGATCCCCTACACCAAGTCACAGAAGCTCCATATGATAAGGGTTTCCTCACAGTGTGTGCCAAAGATGTTTTTGGAATGGCATAAAAACGTCATTCTCTGAAGAAGCTCACATCCAGGCAGGCAAAATGAGATACATACACATCACAAGGTAAGGCTGTTGTCAGAGGTACAACCAGCAGCCCGATGCCTGGAATCCTTGCCTAGTCCTTTCATCCTGGCTGCTGTCCACTGGGTCTCTGCCCTCCTTGGTACTCTGTAGGTAATTGGCATCTCTCCATCTCTTGGTGCAATGAACAGACTTCTTGTTGTTAGTTGCCATGGAGTTGTTCTTTTTTTTTTTTTTTTTTCTGAACCAGTATAGTCTTAGTTACCTAGTACCGCTGTAACAGAAACACTGCAATTGGGTGGCTTTAAAGATTGATTTGCTCACCATTCCAGAGACTAGAAATCTGAATTCAGGGCACCAGCTCTGGGGGGTGTCTCTGTCAGCCTGGGGGAGATTCTTGTCTCTTCCAGCATTCCTGGCTTCCATGGGGATCTTCACATGCATCTACTACCCCTGTCCCCCTATTTGTGCTTCCTTGTCCTTGTGTCTATGCTGCTCTTTTTAACACTCAGAAGGGATTACGTTAGGGGCATACCCTACACTGATATGGCCTCATGAACATAACAAAGTAAACCCTAGTCCCAAATAGAATTACATCCAAAGGTATAGGGGAAAGGACTCCAACACATATTTCTGGGGGACACAATCCATAGCAGTCCCTTAAGCTGAGCACGTAGATGCAGCTTACTGCTTCAGAGCAAAATTTTGAAATGGATCAATTACTCAGCTACTTCTCACACAATCAGTAAGGTCAGAATAGAAGTGCTGACAGCCTTAAACAGGAGCTGGGCCACCAGACAGCTGTTATCCCACACCAAAAGATCCCTGACCCCAATGGGGCATCCAGTGCCTAGTTCTCCCTGCTAAGCTGATAAGCATTTCTGCAGCTGCCATTTCTGTCATTTCACTGGTCACAGTTCATGGAAGGAAAATAACCCATTCTATTCCCCGTACTGTTGTGTCAGCAGCATAATTTCCTCCCCCCGCCCCCCTCCCCAAAATATGGAGGTGATTACACGTAAGGAAGAAAAGCCAAGCCTAAGTGATTTGACAAGTCTTAAATTTTATCATTTGATGACATTTCTCACTTTGATTTAAGCGAATTCCCCTCTGTCTGATACCTCTTTCCTGGGATCTGAGTTTCTTTGAGGTTCTGTCTGTGCATGATTAATGCCTGGTTCCTCAGCCTGTGGTCATTGGAGATCAAGAATATGAGCAAATCAAGCCTAAATGGGCTCCATTCAGCCCTCAAGCTAAAGGCACAGCCTTTGTAGAAGAATAACAGTCATTCCAACCAATAGTAGTTCTTGA